GACACACTTATAATTTCATATGATAGTGTGATAGCAGAATGTATTTTTTTTAGGTTTCCCTACTTTCCAATTTATTTTAAAATGGTAGTTTTGAATATATGCATTTAGAATACATGACTAATAGTTTATATTTCACAGGTAGTTTAAATCTGGTTGGGACAGTCTACAGATGTTTGAGGAAGTTTCATGTTCTAGAAAGGCTGTTGTTGTGGATAATGCCTTAAGGATAATGCCCTCTGGGCACACAATGAATATTATCTGATGAATTTGAAAGAAGCAAACAGGAAATGGCTATATTTTCCCCTTGTTACTCCCTTGGACTAATTTTAAGTCTTGATGGGCAATCACTGAGTAGGTTCATAATGTACATGACAAAAGTAAGCTTTATGTGGTCATGCACCTGCCTGTAGTTTTGGAAGTTTTATCTTCACCTTAGTTTTGGAAGTAAATTCTAGTTATTTTAGTTGTCATTTGTTAATGATCATTAACTACATTGTAGTATTGCCTACAAGACTATTCATATAAGACTTGCTCTTACTTCTGTATACTGAGAATTGACCCTGGACAGTATAATGCTGTACGGTCATGTGTTAGCTGGTAAAGTGGTCAGATTAATAAATGTATATTGGTAGTTGACTTTAGCAAAGAAATAGTGATAATCATGAGTATACTTTTATTTTTACAGGAAGAGATATTACTAGAGTATGTGTCTACAGGAGTAATAATGGTTTCCAAAGAGTATTTTTTAAAGGAAAAAAATGAGCATGAATCCACTCTTCAGTATAAGCTATGAAGGAATAGTTGGGTGTGAATTACAGTGGCACCAGCTAGCACCTCTGTGATTAAGGGTCTTTCAGTGGTCCTAGAGTAAGCCCTTATTTTCAAGGGTTTATAACAGGCATAAAATCTCTTTTCCTGGCTAAACCTGTTATGAAAAGCCTCAGCTTGGGAAGATAGATTTTTTTTCTAATTAACAAAATCTAAGTATTTTGACCCTTCAATTTAGAGAAGTACAAAAGTTGGAAGTAAAGTTTCATATTAAGTATTTTTAGTGCTCAAAAACAATGCAATCTCTGTGTTGTATATAAGGATTAATAGGTCAATCACTCATAATAATTGACTCTAAGGCTTTTTATTAAGAAAACACCAGAGAGATTAAATCTTGAAATAAGTCTGGGGGAAAGTGGCCACTGTGCAGATACATTGATTTTTTTTTTAGAGCAATAATGAAATTCTACTTAGAATGCATAATTAAGTATATGGATGATATAGCATGTTGGGTTTTAATGTGTAGAAAATAAAGCTATTTGGAAGGAGTGCCTACAGTTTGCCAGTAAGCGGCAAGTCAAGATCGTATCTTATATATCAGCAGAGTAGCTCTAGGTAAGGGAGGGGCGGGGAGGGGGTTGTGAAGACTTAGTGGGACTTTGATAGAGAACTTTATAACCTTTTTCTTCAGTAAGGACTTTATCTTGCATCTTGCTGTCATCGAAGGCAGCTGTTCCTAAAATTTCAATCACTTAAGTACACCCACAAAATGAGACTATGGAGTTCTTCATTTCCCCTCGACTTTCATTTGCCCGGTGATACCTCAATGTCATGGCAGCACTGTGGTCCGAGACAGGCACAGCGCTCTGACCTTGTCAGACCCTCTGTACTGACCTGAGTCCTTTCTCTTTCACAGCCTCAGGACGGTCTTTCTTGTTTTATGTCCTTGTTCCTAACATAAAAGTGTTTAACTGCTTCTTGGTTGTTATGGGTAGCATTGGGATAAGATTTTTAACTGGGTATTCTTGAAATGCTTTTACAATAAACCAGTTTTTATAATCTTTAAATTTTATCAGCTTTTTACATTTGTGTTCTTTTCAATTAGGGCTAAGATCTACTTATGGTTGATGGAGCACATTGATTTAGAGTTTCAGATTTTCCAAAGCACTATTTTCTATAATAACTATTTTCTAAATATAGTGCCTTTTTTGCAGGGGGGGGGGGTGGAGAGGGGAGAACCAAGGAAATGAATTTTATAAACAAATAATGTTGCTGTTTTAAGTATTCATATTAAATAGATTCATTCTGTATGGAACCTTGGCAAAAACACTGAAAATAACAGTAATTAATTGTGTTAATTCATAATTCATACCAATCAGTGTTGAAACTTAAACCGTGCAAAGTGGGAGCCAATATTCAGTGATTAACAACTTAATAGCTTTTGTACATCTGAGAAGTGAGTGCTCAGATGAATTTTATCTTCCTCCAGCATGTTTTTATAAGAATTGTGGGTGTGTCTATCTTAATTGTTTCTGTATCTTGAAAAAGTATCTTCCACATTTTAAATGTTTTATATTAGAGAATTCTTTAATGCACACTTGTCAAATATATATATATAGTACCAATGTTACCTTTTTGTTTTAGATGTAAGAGCATGCTTATCATATGTTAGGTACTTACATAAATTGTTACATTACTTTTTCTTCTGTAATACCTTTTGGTTTGTTTATGTGGTTCAAATATATTCTTTAAACTCTTCTTTTGTTGTTTTTAACAATTAATATATTTAAACTTTTTGGCTTCTTAATGGACTTCCAATATAACAAGTACTGGTGATAAAAAAATAAAAGGTGATTCCAGTAGTAACTAGTACAGAGGTGAACGTAAGGTTAGCTTGTCATTTGAATTTGTGAAGTACAGATTGAATTCTCTGAGCTTTCTGCTCTGCACTGGTCATGTAGACCATCCGCATCAATGGTAGTGTGTAAGCAGAATTGCCTCCTTCATTCTTAAGTAGCTTTACTACACGTAACAGCACAGAAGAAACAGAAGAACTTGACACAATCTTTCAAAATAGCCTTTGGTTTTATTTCTCCAAAATATTGGCTCATGGTATCCAAAATACAATAGTGAAAATTATTAGTTACTGTCCTATACTAATAAAAGACAAACATGCAAATTGACCGCACTTTCGCTATGCCTCAAGCTACGCCCACCAGCCAAACAGCGACTATATGCAAATTAACCCAACCAAGATGGTGGCCGGCAGCCACGGAGCTGGAGCAAGCAGGAGGCTTGCTTGCTCCAGTGATGGAGGAAGCCAAGGTTCCCCGCCTGCCGTGGCCCGGCTCTGAGCTCCACTGAAAGCAACAAAGTTTCAATTATAGAAGGTAAA